CATATCTTATGAGTTTTCTTCTGACAACCTTTGTGATTATCCTATCTGTAAGTGCAAATATATAAAGTCTGATTTTTGATTGCATAGTTTGCACTTTCCTTCTGGAAATGGTAATACAAATCCAGAGTTCACATTCACACTATTCATTTTTCCCTTTCTTGTCTCCTTAAACATTTGTTGAACTAACACAAGGTTGTTGACAAGGTGTATTTAATATTAGTTTAGATGGTGTAGAAAAATTGACAAGTATTGACTTATTGCTTACTAATGTTTTGTTAAAACGACATATAATAATAATAATAATAATAATGATAATAAAAAAGTAAGTTGGTAGAAGTGTAGGTCATCATTTGACTAAACAAGAAGAATACATGTATTATATATTGACAACAGAAACTTTTTCGTTCCCCAAAAGAAAGAAAAGCAAGCTGAAGCCATCTAAATCACTGCCTACTTGGTTGGTTGTAGAAAAGCCAATAGCTGGGGACAGGGACAGACATGAAACGATATTTTATCATCAGTGCTGACTTCCAGCCACCCCGTCTCTTTCTCCTGCTGGTAATGAAACGCAGTCAACACAAAGGGTGACTAATGTACACTACAGAGATGGAAGACTAGCGGCTGAGGTCTCATGGGGAGCTGGAAATATAGTCTATGGTTTGGATGGGAATTTTGGCTTTAGCCCTTGGTCCTCTACCTTTCTCTTCCATCCCCCCCTTTTATAAAGATAGAAAAAGTGGAAGTTAAGGGTAGAGAGAGAGAGAGATGTAATCACTATTGTTTAGAGAAAACAGCACACCTCATTTGATAGGGAAGAGAGGAAAAATAAATAGAAGAAAATAAAAATAAAGAAAAGTTGCAGCAACATTTCCTTTCATTCCAAGTTGCCTTTGCCTCAATATCGACATAATTATTTGACGTGGATTTTTTTTCATTATATGGATTTTTATTTTGTTTATTTTTTTTTTAAGATTCTGTCATGAGTTCTATCTCTATCTTCTTACACACAACCTCTTTTTTTCTCTCTCATTTTGCTTCATCTTTTTCTACAGACTCAAACTCTCTCTTCTTTGTCATCTCACAGTTTCAATTAAGTCTTTAGTTTTGCACATCTTTTTTTCCCCCCCAATTCTCTCAATGTTTCTTTCTTTCTTTATTTCTCTTAATCTGTTTTCCATCTTTCTTTTTCTCTACTCACATCCATATTGGATTTCCTTTCACTTATTGATTTGTCAGTAATATTTTCTTTTCTTTTTTTTCCATGTTCCTGTTCTCTATTTTTTTCTGTCTCTTTTTCATCTTTACTGTCTCTTTCTATCTCTTCTTTACTTTTTTCCTTTCTGATTATTACCAATTTCTTTGCTAGTGGGTTTAATTTTTCTGGAGTCATTAATTTTTTTTTTGTTGTTTTCTTTCTTTTTATCATGTCTGCTTCCTCTGTTTTTAGTAATTTCCCTTTGAAAAGACAAGGGTAGGGGAGAAAGGACAGGCTTGTTTATGATAAAAGCTGATATGTCACTTACTACTCTCCTTTTTATAAGGTGAACTTAGTTAACAGTAACAAAGTGTTTGTTGCACAGGCTACTCACAAAAATGTTCTGAGTTGGCAGGGGGATCTAACTTAAACCCCCCAACAATTTACTACATACTATAGTTCACATCCTTATCATAGGGGTGATATTAGGGGCAACTACCTGGTGACAGGTTCCGGTGACCTTTAAGTCTTCCCCACCTCATACGCATGTACACAAGTGCAAGAATATAAGAATTTTTAAGGTAAAGTTCATATGATTTTCATAGGGGTGAGGTACAAATGATATTTGAGTGGGGGGGAACAAGTCTGTTGTCCTATGATCCTGACCCAAGTTCTATTAAAACTTCCTCAGATATCTTAATTTTTCTTTCATTACTTGCATTTGCTTGTTAGTCTCATAGTCTTTTTTCATCAGCTTATATTTCTCCAAAAAGTAATAGTCAGACTAAAAATTTTGTTCTCTGCAAAGTCCATAACTGACAAATACTACTGATTTTAGTCACTTCATGACATATATATATATATATATATATATATATATATATATATATATATATATATATATATATATATATTAGTGAATAAAGTTCCTAATCTGATGGAGAGAGTCTATGATGTCACTTATGTGTAAATTCACTTCAGGTACCCCCACCTCCTAGCATACTCACCATGAAGTTTTGACTCTTGTATTGTCTCTAGCAGGCCTCAATAGTAAACAGGGGGAGGGTGCTGATATTCAATTCATCCTGACTATAATTCAATACACATATGAGACTAAAAAAAAAAGAAGATTGTTCAACATGAAATTGCCAATTTATTTAAATACAATTATTAAATCAAATGATACCCCCCAACTTCTTTTTGCATTCGCTCCACTGTGATGTCAGATTGGATGTGTGTAGCATAGGGGTTACTGACATAAAGTGGAATCAGCATGTGTGTGTTCAAATTCCAGTCAAGTTCATTGTGTTTTGCATAAATATCCTTTGGAAAGGTATGAATCCATCTCTTCTCCCCACAGCTATAGATTAAATAATAGGGCAGACTTGGCTCTCTGGCATTGATTGCCAACCAGTCTAGGAGGGGAACTCTGAATTCAAAATTGGCTTGACATGGTAATCCTACTCCTGTAAAACCTAATTGTAATGAAATTGATTGATTTATTTTTTATGGCTTATCAACACTGTGAGTTATTTAAAGCCAAAACATTTTTGGGATTGTAAGAATAATTCGTTTTTGCAAGTGAATATTGCATTAATAATTTTTTTGAAAATAGCAATGATTTTTCCAGAAACAAGTCCTACTATTTAACCCATACTTGGGGGAAGAAGAGATTGATTAACACCTTTCAAAATCAACACCTTGTGTGGTGAAGCTGTGGTTCAATACTCCACAGTATACTAAAGAGGAGGAGGAGGAGGAGGAGGACATTAACTTGTCAATTTACAACTTAAAGAATATCAGAAATAATAAATTTACTGAAGGTTTGTCAATTTCATGACTAAATTCCTTGTAAGGAAATGAACAAAATGCTTTTAAAAATGTTTAATCTATCAGAAAGAGGTCAGGTATATTGGCAGAGTAAAATAAAATTTTCATCTTCAACTTAATTTTTTTAAAACTTGCTAATATGTCTTCTCACTGGACTTATTAAACAAGTGAAGCAATCCTGAGAGAATTAGAAGCCTTACCAGGATTCATTATTAGCAGACACAAGCTTAAGAACATTAGGCATGCAGATGGCACAGTGTTGATAGCAGACATAGAAAGGAAACTGCAGGAACTCCTACTGAAGTTAATGAAGGAAAGTGAGAAGAAAGGACTAAACATCAACTGTAAGAAAGAATGTATGATTGTCAGCAAAAGAAACAATCCAATATGCAAATTACAAATTGAAGATCAACTAGTTATGTACCATGCATGATACACATGATCATGTATCTTTCAATACATGACTGATGAGGCAGATTTTTTTCTTGCAGCAGGTTGCCATTTTTTTTTGTGTGGTAGACCAGTTGCCATCCAAGGCTATAGAACCCAGTCTGTCCTGCTATTTACTCATAGCTGGCAGGAGAAGTGGATTCATACCTTTTCCAAGGGTATTAGCATGTAAGTGAATGTAATGGCTCTGACTGGAATTTGAATTTGGCTCTAGATACCAAAATTAAACAAGTGCAGAAATTTAAATATCTGGCAAGTGTTTTAGCAGAGGATGGAAAATGTGACATCAAAATCTGAAGGAACATTGGGATAGTGAAAGATGATGTCCAAAAATTATGCAAAATATTAAGAAACAGTAAAATTTAATTGGAAACAAAGAAAAGTGTATCTGTCTATATTTCTGAAATAAGGTATTATGTACACTATTTACATTATTCGGACTATTGTTCTCATCTTTGTCGCCATATTTATTGCAACGTTTTGGCCGTTGTACGCTCCAGCCTTCTTCAGGTGGTTGGAATGTTGAACTGAACCCTTTATTTCGCTCACTGGGGTAGACTGTTCTAGTTCCATGTGCCATGCCTAATGGATGTCAGTTATCAGTTATCTTCTGTTAATTCCCCTCTCCAAGGCAGTGGAGAAGTTGGAGAGGGAAATTAACAGGAGATAACTGATAACTGACATCCATTAGACATGGCACATGGAACTAGAACAGTCTACCTCACTGAGCGAAATAAAGGGTTCAGTTCGACATTCCAACCATCTGAAGAAAGCTTGTGTGTACAATGGCTGAAACGTTATAATAAATATGGCGACAAAGATGAGGACAATAGTCCAAATAAGTTAAATAAAGAAAAGTGTATTTAACTGTTATGTCATATCAGTACTCGTATATGACAGTGAATGTTGGACCATCTCATCACCAATTGATGAAGAGACTTGAGGCAATAGAGATGTGGCTCTACAGAAGGATGTTGTGAATACCATGGACTAAACATGTGAGCATCTATGAAGATGTAGGGAAAATAAAAACAAAATGGACACTTATACTTAGAAACAGAAAGAGACAAATGAGGAAAAAAGGCTTGGTAAATTTGTCCCTAACAGAACATACTGAAGACAAGAGGGAGAGAGGAAAGCTGCACATAACCTACCTAAGGAGCTTGTATAAATGGTTGACAGAACAGGGATTAAGAGATATAGTGAAAAGACAAACTTTACTAAGGGCTACAACAGTCAGGTACTTGTGGAGACCCATGATCACCCACTTTCTTAATGTATACAGCTCCATAAAAGATGTAGGCAATCATGTCTATAGATTTCATTTCTTTATTATCTGTGAATTGCCATGACTTCTTTGGGAAAATAAATGATTTCCTGTTACTTTCTCCATGGTTTTAAATTGAAGTCCTTCTTCTAGACTGGCCACCACCCATAGCCAGTGAGCCCAGTCTATCCTGCTAGCAGGGAATTGAAATAGGCTTACTGATTCCTTTTTCCATGCTGATAACCATCTTATGATCACATCCCATTGAAACACTGGTTCCTGTATGATCATCAAAGTTAAGCATCATTGAGCCTGGTCAGTACCTTGATGGGTGATTACTTGGCAATACCAGGTGCTTTAAGCTTGGTTGTGCAGGTGTTGTAATGGATAATAGTTCTGAATTTTCATTCAGAGAAAAAAGTTCCAATTCCCTTTGAGTTTGTTATATTTACTTATGCACAAATACTATTGGGAAAGGTATGAATCCAGATCTTCTTCTCCAGCTATGGGATAATTAGTAAGATTTGTAACACTAAACCATTATTATCTAAAAAAATATGTTCTTACAATCTAAAAAAATATTTTCTGGCTTTAAATAACCTGCAAACAGTTGATAAATGATAGAAAATCAATGAATGAATCAATCAAATACTGATTATCTACACAGGCATGTTTTTTAGATTTATTTACATTCTCTTGAATATAAATGTATAGAAACTACTGTGGCCACAAAGTGAAGGACCAGTTTATATATTGATTGGAATATAGAATGGACCCCCCACTTTATATCCACTATAATTTCTTCTTTATCAAATTCTGATTAAGTATAAATCCACCTCTTCTCCCCCCCAGCTATGAGTTAATTAGTAACACTTGTATTACTAAATCATTATCATCTAAAAAAAAATTCTTAGAATCTAAAAAAATATTTTCTGGCTTTAAATAACTGGTAAAGTGTTGATAAACTATAGAAAATGAATTGGTCAATCAATCAATCCAAAAATCCATTCTCACTCCTATTTAAGAAAGATCTTCCTGATTGGCCATGCCTTTAGAGGTATAGCTGTACTCACTACACTTGATCAATTTCTGTTTTGGTTAAGGCTATTTAACTTATGGGTTTTTAATTCAGAGTTGTCATTCTCCTAGGCCAGGTTTCATCCAAAAGCTATAGGACTCAATCTCTTCTGCTATTTACCCGTAATTGGGGATAGAAGAGTTGGATTCATGCCTTTCGCAAGGGCATTAGCATGCAAGTAAATGTGATGAATACAAATGGAATTTGAACTCTGCTTTCCAATTCCTCAATCCAAGCTTCATCAGATTTTATGTTGATTTCAAACCGAACATTTTATTTAAAAATATGGGGGTGGACTGTTCTCATTACACTGTCTAGTTTTTATTTTTAAGAACTAGTTTAGTTTTAGTTTTTGCTCACCCTGTTTCCATTGACTCACTGCTTGGTCTAGGGATTATATCATCAAATTCACAAACCCACTCTTTAATCCACTCAGCCATTGTCCTGTGAGAAAATTCCCTGTGGAGAACTTGAAATCAGAAAGACGAAACTTATTGAGAGCTACAAGGGACAGGAGGAGGTGGAGAGCCATGATTGTTTACATCCTGAAAGGACATGGCACATAAAAGAAGAACCTACCTACAAAAATGAGGACAACAGTCTGCATGTAAATAGTGTAAATAATTATAACTCTTCATCCCAGAAATTATTAAATGACACCTCTTTCATTACATACTTACCTATGCAGTTATGGTACAGAAATGTTCTGCTTATGATACAAGATCCATTTTTCAGTATATCACATTTTCCTTTACAATTTATGATTTAATTAAACATAATAATGAGAAAAGAGGACTTGGAAAATTTGATACTCTCAGCACATATTGAAGGCAAGGACAGAGTGAAACAGTGAGTAAGCTATTTAATGAGTATGTGTAAATGGATGGTAGAATAGGTACTGAGAGAGATAGTAAGGACACAGCCAGAAGTTGTAGAGAGCCATGATCATCTATGTCCTGAAGGGACACAGCACACAAAGGAAGTAGAAACATGATAAATACAGGTCATAATGGAATGGCTTCATTGCTCCACCTCCTCTCTGCTGTTTTCAAAGTCATGTCAGTTAACTATTGCCATCTGACAATGTAATCAGATTGTGTCAGATTTTATTATACAAGTTAATGTTTTTGCAATAAAACTGATATTAATCAATTGATGTTGGAAACATTTTCAGGATATATTTGCATTAAATATTAATAGAAGTTTCTACTGGACATAAAGTGGGTGAACAGTTTTCTATTGTTATTAAGTAATAAACTGATCCCCCTACTAGAATTATTACATGATGTCAGATTTTATTATGCAAGTCAATGTATTGCTAATAAAATTGGTATTAACCAACTGAAGCTGGGAAAATTTTCAGGATATATTTAGATTAAATACTAACAGAAGTTTCTACTTGACATAAAGTAGGGGATCGTTTTTTATTGTTATTAAGTAATAAAATGATCCCCCACCAGTATTATTACATTATGTCATATTTTATTATGTAAATCAATATTTTCACAATAAAATTGGTATTAACCAATTGCTGTTAGGAAAAAAAGGTTTCACTCATACAAAGTTAATGTACTGGCCTTGACATCTCTATAGAAAATTCAATTGAAAACTTAAAAGAGATGTAAATAAAAATAGGAAATAATATACAAGCAAGGCTGATCTTTAGAAAGCAACAAGAATTGCTGCAAGTAATGGTAAAGTTGAAACAGTAAACAAGTTAACAAAATCAAGGAAAACAGCCTAAATTACTTTGTAAAATAATAATTTATTCAGGCATATAGGATATTATGTTAATTAAGTGTTTCTTTTGGATTTATTTATAAATCATAATTTACACTGCATTTTATTTATTTGCATAATAAATCCTGACACCCCCTAAAGAAGTTATCATTCTTTTGAATATGCTTAAGTCTGTAATAACTGTACCCTCCACACTAATTAATTTAAAAATTCCAACCACACTCAACTTATTTTCATGAAACTTCCCTGAAAAAAAAATTTCAATTATAAAAAATGATTATCTAGAATTGCAAAATTGATTTGATACAGATTCTAACATTATTCAAATTATGATTCACTCAATTCTAAAACTTAATTCAAATTATATTTAAGTTAATTCTAAAACTTCATTCCTATTATAATTCATTCAATTCTAAAACTTCATCCAAATTATAATTAAGTTAATTCAAAAATTTCATTCAAATTATAATTCATTCAATTCTAAAACTTCATTTAAATTCTAATTCATTCAATTTTAAATCTTCATTCAAATTATAGTTCATTTAATTCAAAAACTTCATTCAAATTATAGTCCATGCAATTCTAAAACTTCATCCAAATTATAATTCATTCAATTCTAAGATTTCAAATTTTTCAACTCTCCCTACTTATTTCAACACCCCTCTTTTATTCAAGACATGAGAGTAAGGATAAATATTATAAATCAGTGGGAACCAATAAGAAAAAGTTGAAACCTTGCTTATATACACTAGTTTTAAATGCAATCAATGCTAAACTATGACCATGAATAATGTTTTGTATTTTTCCACAACAACCAGAATTTGCTGAGTCACTACCTAATCATTAGAGTGAATGAAAGTTTTGATGTTTAATTTGTTTAATAAATCCTACACTTGATATTACATAAACAGCTCGTAATTACATATTGGATTATGAAATATTTAAAAACATGATGGAATTGGCAATGCACAAGAGACTTTGGAAAATATCTGCATTACACTTAAGTGCATTGTCTGTGGTTTGTTTTGTGTTTGATTTCAATTGTATCCTTTTCTTCCTCATTTCATGTTTTCCTTATTTTTTTACCAGTTCCTCTCTTTCAATTTCTTTTTATCCCATACATACTTCTCTTTATTTTTCTCTAAATCATGGCTACGATTCTCTCTCTCTCTTCATGGCTTTCATTTCCCTTTATCATTAGCTCATATTTTTTCCTCATCTGACCACTCTTGATTATATCTTCTCCTTGTTACTCTTTTTCTCTCTCTGTGTATCAATAAATTATTTTATTTACTTTTTGTCTCTCTTTCAATTTTATTTTTCCTTAGTCATTACTTTTTACTCTTCTCTCATTTGTATGGTTTTTTTTCTGTCTCTCTTCAGCTATCATTCTCAGTTTTTTGCTATATTCTATATTTTTCACAAACCTTTATTATTCTTTGCCACGATGGACTTGCTTTACAAACTCCAATGAAAATTTCTATACCATACATATATAGATATGCACACATAAATGTCTCCACTTTGACAACTTTATCACAAAAGTCATCATGTCTGTTATCTTGAGCCACTGAAATAATGTACATATGCATCTTATAGACCAAAATGTATCAATAGCAGAAGTATAAAGAATTAAAAACATAAAAATGGTAACAAGCACAAAAATTTAAAAAAATATAAATTTCTGCAGAAAGAAAAAAAAACAACAAAATTAATTGTCTTAGAATAATAATAAGCAAAATAGAGAAAAAAACAGTAAGACAAAAAATATGACATTAAAATACAGGATCCATATAATTTAAAAACAAAAATTTATATAAAATTTTAAAAACCCTATAAGACACTAAAATGCAATTTAAAAAAAAAAACAAAAGGCTCTTTAAAATACAGAAATTAATATTTTGAAAAAAACAAAATGAAACTAAAACAAATATAAAATGAAATAAAAAAAGAAATAAAAATTATGAAAAATACAAGTTTACAAGTCTAGAGATAAACAAAAAGAAAAAAGGTATCTTTATGTTGTACTTCATGACCAAATTAAAAGATCCATCCTCATTAATTGTGGTTATTGTAGAGAGAAAACATTTATCCTTGTTTTGATGTTATTAACCCTTTCATAATGGTCAATGTTGTATGAAATGCAGACAAAAAACTAAGGCCAGTGCATTGGCACCATGCATTTCAAAAGGCTTGATGATGCATCGTTGCCTCTGTGCTCTTTCGAATCGCTCCACTGAATGCCTATCAAATGGAAAACACAGAACTTCGACTGTTCTGGAGGAGACACAGGATGGCACTGTGCCTAATGAAGCAAAGGTTTTGCCAGTGTAAATAAAATAAAAAAAGACTAAAAAATATTACTTTATCAGAAAAAAGGAAAACAAATCTTGTAATTTGAAACATGAACAAAAACTGTCCAATTAATTCTTAGATTTAGGAAAATTTAAAATCTCTTGGAGAAAATATTTTTTTTTGTTTTCAAAAATACATGAGTGAAGAAATACATAATGTTTGTGTTTTAGGAAAACAAATTTTC